TCTCTTAAATCTTATAATAAATAACCCCTTATTAGATTAGATAAACTCTCCGCTAAAGTATATTATTATTAATAATCGAATTAAGTAAGTTATTAAAGAAATACTTATTTTTAAATTAATTTATAATTATTTTAAGTATAAAGTTAAATAGAAAGATCTTAATAATAATCTCGTTTAATATAATATAAACGGCGGTAAATTCGAAAATTATCAAAATCTAATAGACGACTTTTATAAGCGATATTTCGAAGAGCCTTATCTATAAAGAATTAACTAATAAAATTTCGAAACTATCTCGAATATTTTATTTTTAATTAAATTAAAATCGTTCGATATCTTTATAATAGCCTTATTTTTTTAAAGCTGAGAATCGATTCCTTAGGTCTATATTAATCGAAAATTATATTATATATAGCCTTCCGCGTAGGATCCCCTTACTAATTAATACTTAAGTATCTTTTAAAGCTATAATACGTTACCTATAAATCTCACTATCGCCGTCGATAGTCTTTATCGATATCGGTTATATAATACCTCACGAAGAAACTCACTTAATATTAAATTAGGATTTTTAGCGCCTGCGGCTCGGTTCGATTTAGAAGCCCTCGACTAATTACGTCGTATTATTCTATCAATATTCTATCCGCTTAGATATAGATTCGAAAATTATTATTATTTACCTCTACGTCTATAGACCTTATTTTCATTATATTACACCGATTTCCTTCTAGTTAAACTCTTTATATACGTCTAAATTATAACTAATAATATCGTTATAGTATAACTAAGAAGAGCTACTATTATTATTAATATCGTTTTTAGAGAAAGATATTATATTAAAAGATTCTAGATATAGTTATTTCTTTATTACTTTTATTATTTTTTAAGCGTTAAGCGTATATATATATCTATTTTTCTATCTTTCCACTCATTAATTATAGGATATAATTTAATAAAAGGAGAGAGTAGTATTACGAGCGTATCCTTAATATACCCCTCAGCCCTATGGCTAGCGGGCCTTGGCGGAGACATCCCCTATTATATTATACCTCCTTTCTATCTATATAGTTCGATATCTTAGTTATCTTATTCAATATATCTATATTAATATTATATCTATATCGATTCTAATATTATTAATAACTAAGAATATTAATATATTAATAATTCTTAATATTTTAAAGTCTTAAGTAATATTATTTTATATCTCGATAACTTTAAAAGTTATTAATTAAATCTTAAGAGCTTAATAGTAATTAGAGTTACTCGAGTACGCTAAAATAGCACGAGTGCTATAAGTAATATATATTATTCCTATACGCCCTAGACTATTCTATACTATTAGGGCTAGATTCCTTAAATTGCTAATATATATTTCTTTATATTTCTTATATTCGTGTAAAAATCTATATTAATTTAATATATATGAAAAATCTTAAAGATTATTAGATTTCAAATATGATGTGTTTCTCGTATAAGATACTCATACTCCTACTAATCGCCCGTAAGAATCTATGAGTCACCCAAGTCGCCTTTGCCAGCCTTAGTCCATACAGGTTGTCTCTTCTCCACGTTCAGCTAAGTCTATTGATCCGCTGCGAAGATTAACGCAAGATTAGCAGATCCCATCACCTTAGCATTTCAAGAATCTCCGCTTCCAACCTAAAGTGCGAGTCCTGCTCGCTGAATATAGCGTGCTGCGTGACCTCCCTCGAATCCTCTTGCCTCACAGCTCTAGCTTTGTTCACATAGAAAATGTAGGATGGCAGAAAACGCGTCCCGTCAAAACGGCAAGTGGGAAATCGTACCGGTACCGAAATCGTACCCTGCGCCGTACTTTCCACCACATGAGTCCCTCTAGTAATGGGATCCGTGAAGATCTGCCTAGGCAGGCGCTGCTCCGACTCGTCTACTCCACTAACGCAGTGATTAGAGAGGGAGAGTTCAACATGCCTATTCTCATCACCAGCGATTACGTACTAGCAATACCTACGGAACTGAAATTCGGGAGCTCGGAAGCAGAAATCACACTTGCAGTCGAGGCACCCCTCCAAACGTGTGTCCCCTTCCGAGATGCATTTTCCACAGTGCATGCACCGCAGGACCGTGAATGCGAGCCATACTGGATTTTCTCCGGGAAATGAAATGAGTGGCATGAGAGCTTCGACTTCAGGATTCGTGGCAAATTGTTCCATTAGATGGGCATAGCACTTTGGCCTTGACAAATCGTTCAGTCGGTATAAGTATCTTTTATTCAGGTCCAAATCGAGGGTGGTATACCGACGTATCCAAGGAATCCTAGCTAGCGAGCGCACAAACCATTCGGCAGGCTTGTTTCGTGGATCATCAAGATAACGAACTTGGTCGGCGCTATAGCGCGTTTTACCCTGCGATGTCTTACATAGGGCACATGTTGTTGATAGACTGCTCTGTGAGATGCCAACCTTGCGGAGGCGGCGAGCAAGGACATATCGTGCGCAAATGTTAAGATCTGCGCGGTCGACCTCTATAAGCCTGCGAAAGTGGCGATTAACGCTTCGAAGGCATACTCTGGAGACAACGTCAAGATGCACAGTAATGGTAGATAGAATACACGTCGGTAGTTGATTTAGAGATCGGTAGCACTTCTCTGGATCTGATAGCGACGTTGGTGCTGATGCGCTCGTTGTTGGTTCGACTAACGTTGATGAAGAAGCATACGAGACGGTCTCGGCAAGTGTCGGAGGATTTTCATGTTGACGGTAACGGCGCTGAGCTGTGTCCATTATCAAAGCTGATAGACGAGGTACGCTCACTGTAATGCAAAGCTCATTATCGCTTGAGTCTTTGCGACATTGAAGGTGTGACGTATGTCTCTTCAAGGGGATAGACTGTGAAATCTTCATGCCAAGTACTCGATAGAATAGGGTGAAGCTCTGATTGAGCAAGTTTGCTGACTTTGTGTCCGAGAATCTCAGAGGATCAAGCACATAGGGGCAAAATCCACAAATACCTCTGAACTATATATACGGTTAGTTCCTTTTGAGCGAAGGGTTTGTGGTTTGAATCCCTACCTTGTGTTAGACAATGTCGAAGTATCGGCACGATGCTTTGTAATTGCTATCATTAGGCAAAGGCTATAGGTATGCCATTATTGTCGATATGCTTAGCTGCATATAGAGTACAGAGATTCTCGACTTTTGACACCTGCCTTTGCCTCAACAGCTTCCCGTCCAGCAAGCCTGAACCTCTACGAGATAAACATTCTTCTCCGTTTGTCGAACTCGTTCCTACCTCAACGAAAAAAGCGCGAACTAGATTACGCATGAAGGAGGTAAGGGTCAACGTGGTCGAATGGTTTATTCTGCTGAGCTCGATTATTCAGGCTTTCAACCACCTTCAACTCTTCATCGCAAGTCTTTCAGTTGGTCGCCTTTGCTTTAATACTCTTTCGATCTGGGCTCTTCACCTTCTTGATCTTCTCCGTTGTCATTTGACTGGATCGTCCTTTCCCCTGTTCTTATAAAAAGCGCTTCAACTTCTCTTTCCGTTCTAGAAGTCTGTGTTTTGATTTCCTCGCGTCGGTCGAGGAACAAAGTGCTCGTTTCTCTTTGTCAATGATTATCAATATTGAGTCCTGTATAGAAGGTAGCAATAGCAGAAGAATGGTTGGCCGTAACGGGGCAAGACAATGTTTCGGCTGTTTGGAAGTCACAAAGCAGGTAATTGATCTGGCAACAGCGTCAGCCTGCCAGTCCGGTCTACGTAGAAAGATTCGATCGAGAGTACATAATCAACAAACAAACTAAGAGATCATACTGACGATTAACACCAAGAACATCGAAATGTTTTTCACGTGTGTTATCGTGCTGTTTGTGGGAGTAATGCCTTGGTGTAAGACCATTGCACTGGATGGATGATAAAATGCTGACCTACATGCGTGCTCGTAGCTGCATTTGCAGACGATACACCATGGCACTATGCTTTGGGAGGGATCTGGGGCCTAATTGCCATGATAATGGCAACACTTGCGGTGCTTGTGGCTGGGCATGCCCTCATCAGCCGAGTCTTGCGCTTCGTTTTCGGCCGTCCTGCTCCTATGTCCACCCTGGACAGTATCCAAGAGAGCCTAGATTGGCAATTTAAAATTGCAATGGCCAGCGATGAGAAATTGGCCCTTTGGCGGCGTGAGGATTGTCGTGCCCGGCTACTAGAAATTGAAAATCGTTTAAACAAGGGGCCATATCGGCCGTGGTACAAGAGGGTCTTGCGCCATCAAACAGCCCTCCATCGCCCCCCGCCTTGTCCTCCGCTGACTGCTCCCCCGCCCCGTCGCCCCCATCTCCGGCTCCGGCTCCGTCGCCGACTTTCACCTTTCTTCTCGCCACCGACTTCGTCCACTAAGCCTGGACCTGGACCCCTCCACGACGGACGAACTTGTAGCGTGGCGGCGCCAACTATTTGGGGACGCGGAGACTTAGACAAGGCGGGAATGCCTGGATCGAGGATGTGCATTTTCTAGGTTACGAGGGCGTGTTGAGGTGAAAAACTTGGGGCATTGAGGGCGAAGACATGTATTGTTGTAGGAAGTAGTTTTACGATGAAACAAGTATGAGTCATGGTCCGCCGCGAGAAATGGTCGTAAAGAATAGCAAGAGCCAGAAGCGCCTTACGCTCCCGTATACGCCAATCATTGCTCCTCGTCGGCGTGAGAGCAGCTCAATATAGTCTATCCTAGCCTCTGTCTGACGATTTTTGGTGATGCCCCGCTCATTCACAACAAGTCTCTCCGCTTGATAAGAAGGATACGAGGGTATGTATGGGAGAGCAACATGACGGATCGACTCAATGGAGGCAAAAGCATTCTTTTTGGCAGGAGATAGACGTGTGGGTCGACTCAAGAACTTCATATCCAGACTGATTTCCGTTCAACAATTTCCAAGAGCCTCAAAGTCGACATCCCTCTATGAATCAGTTCCAAATTGCCGTCAGCCCTGATTACGTCGCGGACACTACAGGACTCAGCGACGAGACGAATGTTGAGCACGCGACCGTTCCCTCTCTAGCTTCTGCTTTCGTAGTCGTTCCTCAGACGCTGCTGCCGCTGCTGCCTTCTTGGCTTTTTGCTGATCTTTTGCTCTTCGTTTGTAAGTAACTCTTTTGTTGACTATCGCTCATTTGGCGCCATTCACTTTCCGAAACACCTGGAGTCCTAATGGCAAAATTGGTCAGCAAAATCGATGGAAGCAAGCATAGTGTAACTACACACGGTGTGAAGCGAAGACTTACCGATCCTTTCGACTAACGGCGGCCTCGTGGTTTCTGGCCTCTTTCGCAACAACATCATTCGCGACTTGCATTAGCGAGCCATCAAGCTTTTGATAACAGCTGTTCAGATTGGCTGTTTGTCTCCTGCCTTTGTCGGACGATATCTCGAGAACCTCTGTGCGCCAAACATACGAATTGAAGTTCTTGACAACTTCGATCATTTCTGGAGAAATTTCTTTTAACAGTGCTTGGAGAGGAACTTGCAACGTGGCTTTTGTATGGGCGCTAAGCTTTTGAGCTCCTCGGCAGCACTCGCGGCAGGAATGTTGTACTTACCCCTTGTATTTCCCATTAGAGCTAGGGCTGTATTTTACGCTCATCAGGTTTCTAGGGACTGTCTCCGGCGTATGCTCTTGAGCTGCGAGCCAACGCTTGGTCGCAGAGATCTCACGTTCAGCGTTCGGGGCTGTGCTTGAAACTTTTGAGTAAGATCTCGAGATGAAGCTGGGAATGGTCGTATTCTGAGAAGATGATAAGGCACCGAATGCCGCTGCGCAAGGACGAAGCATTGTAAGTTGGCTGCGCTTGAGGCGATGATGCAGTCGGTAACATTGGATGTTGTTCTTCGGCTCAAGTCAGTCGGTGCGAACTGGCCAGGCAGCTCAGGTCTAGATGTCCAGGCTCCAGCATGCCGACATGTTGTAAATCATCCCTTGCTGGACCGGGTTAGCCGCAGCAATATGCAGCAAGACCATGCAGGCGTCCATTTTCGATGCTGTGTGGGGTCGCATTCCCGCGGAAATAACCTTAGTCAGACCCTCCGGGCCTGTAGATCCTGATTCAGATGTTGGCGATCCCCTGTCCTCATCCGTTTTATACTCCTCCTGGAAGCGCCATGATCCTGCACGTCGACAATCTGAGTCGGGGGACTTCAAATATGCTATTAACCTAACAACTACCGGGAAAGCTCAGATCGTGGAACCCTGGCCAAGGTCATCTTTTTCCGTTGAAATGCTAAACAAAGATAGATATCAGCACCTCGATCAAATGTTCGTACTACTTTCTCCATCGTGGCTTGTTTTGGCCTCAAGATCTCGGCTACCTTAGTGCTTTCCACTTGCTATGGTGTGGAATCCTCAAATGGCTATAGTACATCTCCGGGCCGTGAGAGCTGCAGCCACTGTACAGTAGCACTATGCAAGTCGCTCGATTAGACAAGCAATTGGCGCATGAGCCGTATTTCCGGTGCAGCAAGTCTAGAAAGCGACTATTCGCTGTACCCCACAGATCGGCTTCGCATTCCCTGCCTGTCACACCCGCGAGTCCTCTGCCAAGTCGACTCCACTCACTGCAACTGTAGCCTAAAATGCCACGCTCAAGGGCTCGTTCTCCGTTCATGTCTAGCGCTGATGGTATCGGCATCTACCCCGTTCTCATCATGCGCATAATACTGCGGCACCTTGAAATGCTGAGACATAGCAATACTGAAAGTCACAATGTGTTTGCAGCAACTGAGACCGGATCAAACGGCCCTCGTATCTTCATGATCAAGTCGAGTCTAATCCAAAGCAGTGAGCACCACGGGCAAACCGTGTGTCTCTCGCATTGGCTGCCGCATTCACTGTAGATGGACTGGCAAGATAATTGCATGCGGAAAGCTGTGTACGCTTCTTTCGATACCGTTCTACTTTTCGAGGCGTCTCTATCGACGAGGGAATAGGGTATCAACCGATCGAGTTGGGGGTATTATGTAAGGGAAACGATCCTCGAAACCGTACTGAATGCGAGGCCGTGAGGGTTGAGATACTTGCGACTGCCTGAACTTCAGGCGTGCCCTTTATTGAAGCCCCACCCCTCTATTCACGCATCCATCCACTCCCCCTTCACCTTCCCAAGAATCAATCCTCAAAAGTCGACTACTCCTACGCGTCTCTTCAGTATCCAGCACCACCATCTTTCGTCCCGCTTTCTGCATCTCGAACAATCCCTGGAAGAAGTGCGGGAGTTTGATTGCCGGGTTCGATTCGGGGGTTGGATCAGAGGACTGAAGTTTGGCAATCCACTCGTTGACAGAGACGAGTTTGGCTTGGAGGTCTGATGGAAGGGGGGAGAGGATGAATGGAAGGACGGCGGCGTATGTTGTCGGTGAGGGGTTGACTAGGTAGTAGACCTTTGCCGAAGCGGCAGGTACGTCGGCTGTCTCCGTGAACGTGGTTGTCATGGCTTCGATGGTGATCTCAGTCTGTTTGCTATCTAGGTTGGTAGTGGTGTCTTTGCTTAGATGGCTTGTATGCTCATTCTCTTTCCGGGTCATGGGCTCCCTGCCGAGTGGTTGCTCATCTGCGATTGGCATGGTGTTTGTTTCCGTGTCAGGACGTTTAGGATACGAGACTTCTCCATCTTTGTCCGAACCGAGGGACGATTCCCCAACACACCCCACTAATACATCAATCGGTATCCAGTCCACCCTCTCCATAGGCCCAATTCGGACGGCGAACATCCCAAGTACACACCAATCTTGATCAAGCTCGGAAACCCACTCCCCTGTCTGCCAAACACCTTTGCCCCCCTTCGGTCCAGCAACTAGCCCAACACTGCAAACCACGCTCCTCATACCACTGACCCTGGCCGCCTCATCGAGCATTCTCTCAGCGACGTGTTTCGACTCTGCGTATCCCATGGCTTGCGGTAGGGAGTATTCGTCGATGATGGACTTCGACATTGGACCCGTATGGGAGAAGGGATAGTTTATTGCTGCTGATCGTTGAGATGAAGGAGATGAATGCCCCATACTTAGACTGAGAGATGAAGTTGATGAATCGACGCACTGCGTGTATGTGCAGATACTGGACAGACTGGATGGAGTGGTTGAAGTTGAATTCCCAGGCGTTGTGGAGGATATGTGTCACTGATTTTAGTAGCTTTTTGTATGTAGGTTGAGAGAGCCCGAAGTAGGGCTGTGATAGGTCGGTCTTGAGAAATGTGACGCTTTCGGGTGAGAAGCGCGCTGATAAGCCGTTAGTCTCGTGGACGGTATGTTGGCGATCCAAAGGCGGAGTAGCGATGGGAGGATTGGCGAGGACGTTGGTGAGGAGGTGGGACCCCATTGAACCGGTTGAGCCTGTTAAAATGACCGTCTTCGGGGAATCGGGTGGTGAAGTAAGGGATGTATGAGAGGCGGGGGGAAGATCTCTGGTGTAGTGCTCGAGCATCGTTTGATCCTTTCTTCGCTGTCGGCTACTTCGTGAGGTAGATATGGGGCCTTGTCAGTCATTTTCTTAATGGTGAGTGCCAATTAGTTGGTTGATTGTTGAATTGGAGCATATCGTCCGCGGCAGGATCCGAAGGTCGTTTCTGCCGACTCACCCTAGAGAAGAAATGATGTGGCGGACAAGGCTCGTTAATTTTAAGAAGTCTATCCTTAAGGCAAAAAGGTCATCTTCGTTCAAGACGTGGCCCGCACGAAGCTCCCCTTCTACGATTGGCTGAAGAGTGCGAATCAAAGACTCCTCTCGGTTGAGACGAAGCAAATTCTGTGTTGGTCGTTTTAGACCGCTCTGTTGTGCGTACAAAGTATCGAGTCCTTCCTTGTACAGATCGACTGTGTTCATTCGCTGTGTTGTTCCCTTGCCTGCGCGTAACATGGGTTTTCCAGAGAAGTGACGAGGACAGAATGTTTCGCGATTTTATTGTGGGCAGGACATTGTTCGTTAGCGCGCTCGAAGGCCGCCCAGATGTTCTCAAGCAGCGTTTCCTGCTCATCTAGCGTGACCGAAGACATTTTGCTTCGACCGTCAAGAAGATTGTGCATTCTGACTCTTCCAGCAAATGCAGATTTGCTTCGAACACTAGTTGGAAGAGATGGCAAGAACGCCTATAAGAAAGCCAGCCAGCGACCGAGAAATTTTCTTCAGTCCGCTTGCTTTGTAGCCAGTCTTTGGGCAGCTATCGTCAACGCTATATACCTCAGGTCGGGTGGTCCAACATAAGCTAGCGTTCCAAATTCTTCATTCTTCCCAGGCTTCTTCTGAATCCACCATGCTATACGGTTGATTGTGTTGGCTAAAACACCATGGGTGAGGTTGCGAAACTCACCTTCGATACTTGCAGTCTTTGGCCGCGAAGATATGATTTATGATACGGGGGCCGTATCTTGGGCCGTATGCAGGCGTAAAAGTTGGAGTAGGAAACTCCACTGGTACTTTCAAATAACATGGTCACAGTATGAACTCAAGGCGTAGTGGGGTATAAGGTGATGATCCATGAAGGTCTGACTCAGCGCACAGAAAGAGCTTAGGAGTGATTGTGTGCAGCACAGGCCCCGAAGGAGGGAGGATCCCACTCACGAGGAGCGCACTCTGCAGGTAGCAAGGTAACACTCGGAGGAGTGCCCCGAGTTGAGCACAAGACTCGCCCCTAAATCACACGTGAGGCCCAATCCAGGCGGGCGTACGTCTAGTCACAAAAAGTGTCTCAGGGAAAAACAGGAAGCGGTGCTTTCAAATGCGCTCCTAGCTCCCGGTTCTTTTTCGATATTCTTTCTGCACCGCGGAAAAGAAGCATCGTGTACCTCACTCGGGTATGCACATAATGCCAAGAGAGACAGTATCAGCATTTCCTAGGCCAACCATGCCAATCCAAAATGGCAGTATCTACCTTAGTCACATCGGACGCTTCATTCATGCATCGTCGTCTTCCATACCGCAATACACCTCCGTCGGACATTGCAGCTCGTCCAAGATGAATATGAGTGCAGGCCCTTCTCAAGTCGGCTGTCGTACTCCTGGGTCTCGTCCTGACATCTCGTAGGTCACTACTCATGAGGTGGTGCGGAGTTTTGTTGTCAATAGATTATCTCCTAGCTTATGAGGCTTGTACTGCCAGCACAGGCCACTGGCATGGTCTACACGCTGGTGACTACTCAGTGGCCGTGACTACCTTATCAAGATAAGCTCAGCTGAACCGCTACTAGACCAGGGTAACGGCGATCAAGTTGTAGGGAGCGGATGACGGCGCGAAATCGCAGCAGTCCAGCACAGAATTAGGCTGGTTCCAGCGATCTAGTGGAGCCACCCCCCCGTACCCTGCAGGGAGCGATGCCGAGGATGCTTTAAATAACTCTAACTCCCGGGATTCGCTCTTAGATGGCCCAGCTTATCTGACACCGGCAGGTTAGCGAAACAATCTCGAAATTCGAATGTCAAACCAGCCACTTTATAAAAGACGATCACGGATACCAAAAGCGACCTACCGGGAGATAAAGACGCAATGTTCGCCAACATCATGCACACTCCCGGGTCGAAATCAGTGATCATACCCGAGGGGAGACCGTGCCTTATTCTTGCCGAAGAAATCTCAAACTGGAGCACCTTTAGTCAGGTCTCGATATTCGGCCTGATGACTTCAGCCCACGATCCTGCGATCCTTCGGCCAATTCGTCGCTTGCGCTGCTACCTAGTTGCAGCCAATGACATTCGCCATGCGGTGCACTAGTCCTACCGAGGCCCTTACTAGCCTCCATATAGCAAGCATCATGCGAGTCAGAAAGTAGCAACTTCATTGCGCTGATACTGTGCGAAAAAGGTGCCATCGTCAGCTTCAGCTTTGCATGGGAAGCTTCGGTTTCTCGTTTCTGCAAATTTCAGTACATTTTCCCAGCAATGGCGGAAGATGTCCATGCTAGCAAGACCGCAACTCTGTTGGCGGCAGATATCACACTCATACTCTTGAGCGCAACAGCTCTCGCGCTCCGGTTGCTGTCGAGGAGGTTGCCAAGAGCTGGGCTTTGGTACGATGATTATGCCATTATGGTTGCGATGCCGCTGGCTTGGATGTTGCCGATTCTGAACCTTATAGGTTGGTCGAGTCTGAGCTCCTGAGAAAGTCGGGTACGAAATGGCTGATGATTACTTGGACAGCGACCCACTTCGACTTTGGCAAGCACGAGGCAGTGGCTCGTCCTGACGCGGCGGAGAAGTGGTACTATATCCTTTACATCTTCGAAAATTTCTATGCTCCGGCTATCGCTATGGTTAAATTCTCGATCCTCCTCTTCTATGCGCGCATCTTCACCGAGCATACCGCCAAGATGCCAACGCAGATCTGGTTCCAGAGAGCGCTGTATGTAATGGGAGCCATCACACTCTTATGGTGGATAATCTGCCAATTTATCGTGATCTTTGAGTGCGCGCCTATCCATTACTTTTGGAATCGGAAGCCTGTCACAGGCCACTGCCTAGACGTTCAGATATTCTTCCAAGGTCAAGCCATTCCTAACATCATCACTGACTTGGTGCTTTTAATATTGCCTTTACCTTTGATATGGAGGTTGCGCCTTCCAATCGAGCAGAAGGCCGCATTGAGCGGAGTCTTCTTGCTTGGTAGCTTGTAAGTCTGAGGTCGCTGGTACGCATCGTCGAAATTAGCGGAGCTAAATCCAGATTCTAGTGTAACAGCGACAAGTATCTATAGATTGACCCTCTTGATGAAGTTGACGCAAGTGGACATCACGTGGAACTATGCCGATGCAGCTGTCTGGTCAGCCGTCGAACCCAACGTCGCCGTCATCTCCGCTTGCCTTCCAATGCTTCGACCAGTGCTCAAGCTCATTGGTGTCACCTTTGGTAGCGTGGGCAGTCTTAGAAAGAGCCCCAGGCATACAGCCGGCACGGCTGGCACCGTGGGTAGTGATCACCCGCATGGCAGAACAAACACGGTGCCGACTAGGAAAGATGGCGGACCCTTTGCGCGGCTGGCCGAGCTCTCACCACCTTCTGATCGGGAGCACAGAGAAGAGTGGGAGCTGTGGGAAGGCCGAAGGAGTGGGGGCGTTCAGAAATTGAACTCAATCGGGGGATCAGATGGGAAGGATATGCTGGGTCGAGCAGAGTTGGGTGCTGTTCCGCGTGGGGCGATACACGTGAGGAATGAGATCTCTCAGCGGGATGATAAAAGTTCTTCATAGCTACTCTGGTCGAACTGTAAATTATCGCTGTACGTAGTATGGGTGAATGCTCTGTATGAACAAGGAGTATATGCTAAGAGGCAGATAAGAAGAATAGCACATATCTGACACCATTTGTAGTGAAGAGCAGAGAAAGAGCCCCGACTCGCCGGATGAGAGCAGAGTTGCGCGAACGTAAATTATGGCCACCGTTGCCAAGGCTTTCGATCTGGTAAATCTGTACAACATTAATAGAGATGAGGGAAACCTGTTACCTTTCCCCTCCAGACATGTGGCGCCGAGGAATAAAGCGCATAAAACGGCTCTGCAGATGCTGCCTTCCTGATATAATTCATAATAGCTCCTCAACCGCATGCGGTCTGGAACGCGCGAGCAGTCAAACCCGAACAAGCAGTGTCTGCGTGTGTGCTTTCCCCTTCTCCTCCGCCACCCTAAAACTCGCTGCTCAACCTGAAGCAAGCAAGAGATGGATGCAATAGACCGTATCATAAGAGGAGAATCAGCCAGGTCTTTCGGAACGAGCAGGAGATGGGGAGTGTGGACATCCATCACTGAAGGGGTCCAACCTTCTACAACGGTCGTGCGCGGACAGGAGGAAGTGACGGCGTGAATGTATAAGCTACACGGGGAGAGAATTGTCGGGTCACAGATGCAGGGATATGACTCAGCTATGTTGTGCTCGATGATTTGCAGTGAGCAATACGGTGGTATGAGTCCTGTCTGTGTCATTCGCTCTCGGAAGGCTTGTTGACTATCTAATCCTTTCCTGCTTCACCAACATCGCCCAGACCGCAGCATACGTTAACGCCTTCCGACTAGCCTTACCCGTAGTGCTTGTAGTGTCTATCCACGATTGCACGTCGCCTCGTCGCCGTTATCATAATGAGGTAAATCCGATAATCAATCGTAGCAACGTTTCCGATCCCACTTGAATGGAGCGTTTGCTGCAAGTCTCGATCTCGACCGCCGACTCGGTTTCTCTTGTAATGTTCACGTTCAAGCGGTACGGTGGGTTGAAGTCTTGAGCTTATGATTGTTGTGCCAGATGGTAGTTGGTGATGCGAGACAATTTGCAGCTTGGCAATTCCTGAGCGAGCGGATACCGCGCATCGACCATGTAATTTGGGTCCCTTCCCATTGGTCCACAGAGGTGGGTTTCAGCCGGCGTTCATCGGAAGTCATGAATGGTAGACCTTTGGTTGCAAAAGACTTCGGATAGCAATTGATTCTCCAAGCTGTTGACCGGTCAAGAGCAATCTTCGCGGGGGCAGACATCGTCTTGCAAGCACCAACCTTGTCTTGAACGCGGCTCCATTCCCACACACTTTTTGGGCCTGGCAAAACAGGGTCTTGCATGATCTTTTCACGTAATCGCTGTGCTATACTCAGTATTCTTAACGTCATTATCTCCAGTGTCACATCTCCACGTTTTGTCTGCAGCCCGTCACTCCAGCGACGACAAGGACAGCCCCTCAGCATTCCCTTCCACATCCGCATCTGCCTGCACCGATTCCTCCTCTCTCTCTTTGCTAAGGTCCTCAGACCCGTGCTGAAATTCGTCCGGAGGTCCATGCACCTCGACACCCTCCCGAAACCGCCACCCGGGCATTCCATTCCTCGCCGAGCCCGTCGAAACCACCACATCCTTCGCCTCCACGTCAGTGAAGAGGATAGCCTCGCTGCGCAGGAACCATTTGGGGGTTTGGCCTTGTTGCATCTGATCGTACCATGGGTCATCTTTGGCTTGCAGAAGCCAGATACGGTACAAGCGAGCGTAGTCATCCGGTATGAGGGGACATGGCATGACGATTTGCATTAATGCATCTGCTACCGTGAACACTATCGCGCTCCCACCATGGCCATGCGAGAAAAACATGGGCATATACTCCGCATTGTGTCCGTAAGGTCTATTGACACCCAAAATTACAGCCCAATTTGCCCGGCTGTGTATCGACACCCTGCCGTCCTCTGATTCATGCCACGTGGCCTGTTCAAGTTGACGAAAATCGTCCCTGTGAAAGAATAATCGTAGCTTAGCTCGCCAATATCGCCCTAGCCAACATCCCTGAGCTTGCAGATCAACTTCTCCACCATGTCCTGAAGCTAGTTACTTCCATCTCCGCGGGCTACTTAACCAACGACGCGAACAAGAACATTTATGGAACTCAACGCCCCGTCAAGCTGTTGACTGTAGGCAAGGCTTTGGCGAGGCAAATTGCGAGATCGACTACAACGCTACCGGCTCGCAGGAACTCAGAAATTCGAACGTCGACGAACTTGCTTCTTGGTGAATTGGGAAAGACCACAGCAATGGCCCCCGCTCGTTCTAATGAAATTTGCCGGGAAATGAACCGTATTTGACTTGAATTTGTCGCACCGAGAAGCCCTAATAGTAGAAGCTCCTTATTAGGCCCAGATAGCGGTGGATCGATCCCTTTTATCAACCGCGCTAAAATTTGACCTCGACCAGTACGTTTTCGTGCGTTGGTCGCATCATGGATTAGAGCATCCTCTACACTTTGTTGTTGCAGCTGGAGGCTTGTGATCAGCAGAGTGGCAGAGGAAGAGACGGTGATAGATATTGCGCTGGGGGATAGAGGCGTTGCTCCTGATGATAACGAAGTCAAGCCTGCAAAGTTCTCTTGTCTCGTAGTATTACTGAAATTTACTTCCTTTTCTACGCCCTATTCTACCCCCGTTTGTACTCTCGTACTCTCCGAAACAGAAGTTGTGTACTCCGAAAAGGGCGAGACACATGGGTGCCCCTTCTAATAGCGTGCATTTTTGTACTGCTAGAATGTGCATAAGTTGCCAAAATCGGTCCCACTATATTGAAGTCAGCTGGTATCCTCGAGTGTCTGTACAAGATGGTATCAGTGCAAATCGGGGAGTCGTTTGAGGTAAGTACTTCGGAGAGACGCGGGAACCTTGGTGATTTCAGTGGACTGGGCTGTCGCTGCAAGTCAGGGCTACTTACAACTATATATCTCTTAAATTCAGAGCGTTCAATTGATCGAAAATAGTCCATCCTGGAGATTTCTTGCTGAGGCTTCGGTTTGCTTTTTGGTGGCACCCAGAGTCGGATCTGCTAATGTTCCATTGACAGAGCCCCGCTGCAACCTCTCTGACATGATATTGAAGGTTGCTTGAAGTTCAGATGGCCAGTCAATCGCATGATTTGCCTTGACGTTTTCCGAATGTAAACAACCGCAAGTATTGCACTGATTGAAGCGCCTACAACACGATTTGCGGCACCACCAGCACTACCCCGTCGGCAGAATCCAGAAAGAAGGCCTGCCAATGCTGATGATTGGCAACTGAACAATCTCGAAGCGCAAAACGCAAATCATGCGGTTCCGGGTATATAGGTACCGCCGCACCTTTGTTCTGGTCTGGAAAATCGAGTCCACACTCGTGCCGTTAGGTAAGTATTTTCATCATGCGTGCAATTGTACTCTCTCTCGCGTACCTCTTCTACACCGCGCGCACGACATTCGCTGTTGCGTTTCCAAAGCAGTCGTCTGGCCTGTGGACCAACGCCCCCGAAGACGATACTCTGCCCGCCACAAGCGGCAACACAACGCTGAGGCTCGAGCCGAACCCATCCGCACTCCTCAACGTGTCCGCACTTACAATCACATGCCTTACCGAGCCCCCACCCCGCCAACCCATCACCTTGGCTGCTTACTACGAGGCCGTTCAGAAGATCCTCATCAGGGATGACGCCTTTTTCCCACGGCGCTTCGAATTAGGACCAGGCGGCAAAAATCTCCGATGGCAAGGAGGACAGTGCGTCATCGCTTTCTTCAACAATCAGCCGTTGAAGACGGATGCCATTCCTATCATCCTCGTTGCCCATGTTGCAGCTTTGATTGCGAACGAATGTATCACTGAAGCGAAGGGCTATCTCGGTGGGGTTGCGCAGATTGGTCCGAGCAGAGGAACTGTGGGTGTGTTTCATACTGTGCCATCAGGTAGTGAGGCCGATGAGAGATATGAAGCTCTCATTAGGGCGGTGGAATAGGTTCCGAGAGATTGTGAGTTCTTAGAGGATGTATCTATCGTCAGAATCCGGAGGGTAGCTTTGGATGTCGTAAGAGATTTTCATATAAAGAGAATGATACTGTACGGCACTCACACTTCTCCTTCTCGCCAATTGATCGGGAAAAAGATGCAGCGGAGGCCCAGGTGTTCCATCATAAGGTTCCAGCGCCAGTGTTAGTTTCGACTGTATTGCCTGTTCTTCTGTATATATTTCATGTTGTTGGAATTGAAGAGAGGTTATGGATTGATTGTCTATGGAGTGGTATGTAGGCTACTTATATACCATGTGAAGCCCATGCTAATTTGCCCCCTGCGGGGTAGCTACAACACAGGTGCTGCAGCAAATCTCAACACACCCCCATGATGCAGCACCATTGCCACACCCCCATGATGCAGCATGGTCTTCAAGCTGAGATACGAGTATTGTTGTCCTCGAAATCGTCACCCCTTGTCGTTGTGGCCAATCTGGCCTGAAATCTTCGTGCCTGTTTTCCACTATCTCCCTTGTGTTTTGCCTGATCTTTCATCATTTCCTTGTACCAATCCGGAGCCAATTGTGGATATTCAGTCCAGCACTTCTCGCTGAGATGACCGGTAGATCTACAGTGGTCACAGGGCTCTTTTTCCTTGCCTTTCCCCTGGAATCCTGCCTTAAAAACTCGAGCGGAGTCTTGGGAGTTGTGGAGGGCTTGATTGTGTTGCCGACTGGCCTCGAGGACCATTTGACGTGCTTTTTCAGCTGTGATTGAGGGCGTAACAGCCCAAATTTGGATGAGATACTGGTACTCTCGTGGTAATGACATGGAGAGACAGAGAATCGTACGGTTATTCGTATCGAGTGTGACCTTCGTGGAGTCGATTTTCTCTTCGAGAACCTTGATGTGAGTAAGGTATTCGGGTACTGTTTTGAATGCTTTGAATTGAAGCGTGTAATATTCCTTTGAGAGTCGCATGAACTCGGAGGATCCCGTGGGCTGGAGTATGATTCGAAGTCTTGTGAGCATGAGGTAGCCGTCATTGAATTCGGCCTCCGTAAGCTTCTGTTGAATACCTGGACTGATCGTTGGAGTCATAAGATCGGCCGCTTCTTGGGATTTCTGCTCCCAGTCCTTAATCGCCTTCTCTTTCTTCTTGACGACTGCGGTGGAGTCACCCTCTTCCGGGGTGTCCTCGGTGTAGAGACTCTGAGTGTATTCCCAAAGTTTCTTTGTACGTAGCTCTGCTCGTATGTTGACGAACCATGAACTAAAATTCTCTTCGGTGAGAAGTTCTATTTGACGTGTTGTTCCACTGTCTTTCGTGGACATTGTGACTAAGTATCCCACTGTCTTTCGTGGGTGCTCTGTGTTTTCGAGCTGACTCGGTATCCCACTGTCTTTCGTGGGTGTTTGCTCTGTGTTTTCGAGCTGATTTGTGTGTGGTTTCCTCGGTGTCTTGAGGTATGTCCCGGTGTCTTGGGTATTTGGATTAATGATAGACAACAACTTGTGTAGCAGTTGCGCGAGGGCCCATAACCTGTTGGAATTGAAGAGAGGTTATGGATTGATTGTCTATGGAGTGGTATGTAGGCTACTTATATACCATGTGAAGCCCATGCTAATTTGCCCCCTGCGGGGTAGCTACAACACAGGTGCTGCAGCAAATCTCAACACATGTTCTTCTGTATATATTTCACCGTGGCTTGAAAAGATGTTAGTGCTTTCACCGTTTACGAAGACAACGGTTGTGTAAGCTGGAGTCTTGGCCCCATTTTTCTAGAGTGCAGAGGATAGCCTACGTTTGTAAGGCTGAGGTTCTTAACAGTGGTATTCATGTAGGTTCCCATCATTTTCATCGCTCCTCATGACCCTCTGTTGTACTATGAGATTGCCAGTGACTGTATTAAACGTGAAGGTTGGCTACGAAGCCTACCTTTATTATGTAGTAGTTTGCCAGCCCTACAACAAGGCTGGGTGAATGTTCCCGGCCGTTGAGGGACCGCAAGGCCACGTTCCTATTCATGATGGCATGCGAGCCTTTCCCCCTGCAGCTTCGATGAGGTCCGAGATGGACGTTTTGGATCGTAAAAGCGAAAGAGAGAGGGGAAAGCGAAATGAAAGAGCTGTCTGCAGTATGGAATTGGGATACGAGTAGCACGTTAGCACTAAAAAGATCGAGGGTTACAATGACTGGTGAAAACTACACCAAGACTGCTTTCCGTACTCCTGGCATTCGACGAGAGCCGTCGTTGGGCGCGGAAATCAGAGGCAACGCGGCTCGATACCTGTAGTGGTGGATAAGAGACACGCAAAATGAGAAAAGCTGCAGGCTACCTTGATACATACTGGACCATGACGTTAAAAAAGGGGCATCGCCTTGACCGCTACAACCTCCTTCAGACTGCTGACATGACTTCACGTCGTTGGAATATGCATGCGGCGACGGGTGGCGGAAGTCAGTTCCCGTGGCGGACCCTGAGCTCTGGATCTCCCTCTCTCTCAAAACCCTCGAATCTCTCCGAGGTATCTCTCTCGCTTCGCAGCCTTCTCATAACAGTGTTCAGACCTTCCTTGTGTGCAATCTCCCATTCTCTCAATGACTTTGTTTTACGGCCGAGTTCGCACTTCAACATTCATCACTCTCATCGCCCTTATCCTGAGATATCATCAATCTACTCATCCTGCTGATCCTCGAGAAATCCTCGAGTATTCACGGATCTGCTTGGTATCGTGAGTCATGCCTGGGCGGAGTTCAGCTACAGTCCGGACGCGGTCTCTTGTCATATCGGATACGCACAATTTCGAATCCGAAAATGACGCCGCAAGTCCTCTGCCATTCCACCGACCCGTACCGAAAGTCGATGACTTGCCCCACTGTGGCGGCCTATAAAAATGCTGTGGCTCATTCTCCTATAAGAAGGCTCGGGAAATGCTCGGTACCGTCAATACTGAGCCGAAATTTCCCTTTTTGGAAACCATGATCTGGACCTCGACAAGCGCTACTGGAATACTCACCTAGACGAAGATGAAAACGAAAGGCCGGAAGATCACTTCCACGCGACTCAGACTATGGCAGGACTGCCAGCTGCGGAAGCTCGCATTACCTATCTGGAAGAGGGGATGCACACCCATACGTTAAAGAACAAAGCTATGTTCTGAGTCTACGCATCTCTGTGCCCGCTAGCATTCTATGACTGGGCTTTTGCGTACGAACGCGTTAATGATTGATTCAACGAAGCCTATCAGGTAGCCCATGGTGTCAAATCGTATTCGAAACCTATCATCCTATCTTTCCCAAACGGTGACAACATGATGACTCACGAGCCGCCGAAGGGTATTCTTGACGAGTGTCCGAGAGGAAGCGTGGGATGGGAGAATCTACGCCAGGCCTTGGGCAGAGCGAGACTACGCATGCACTGTTTTGGACACATTCACGAAAGCAGTGGCGCGGAAGTGTTGGATCGGGAGGCCCGGGAGGGTGAATGATCTGACGAATGGACCAGAGGCCAAGGAATGCTTCGAAAGCAAGGACGATTGGCAACGCGTATCCTGAGTCGGTGAGGGTGTCCTTGGTTCATGGGCAGCAATCGCTCAGGACTAACGCTGCGGTTCGGGATGGAAAAAAATATCTTACGGATGCGCCGGGGCTCATGGATCTCGAATTGCCACCGGGACTGCAATACTAAGCATAGGGATTTTATTGACATGTTTTATGCCTCTATCTACCTATAATTCGAAAGGGGGAGAGGCGCTGTCGGGGTCACGTGATGATAGGGAAACCCGGTGAAGGGAAAACTTTGGCAAGCATGAGCGTGTTCGGCAGGTATTCGGTGTCCATTCAGCACCTGATTGCTTTTTGTCTTGAAGTCATCAGGACAATGATGCAGCTCGATGTCATTTTGCTTCACCGCCGCCGAAGGATGCGCCAATGATTTAGCGCACTCCCTCGGTGCCCACAGAAATGCCTCGGCCTTATGAGGGGTAGTCATCAGATTTCGGCGTTCGCTCTTTCGCTTGGCCGATTGATGATATATCACGCTTGAATACAAAAAGAGTAGTGTACTTTCACTTCATATCTCCAAGTTCAGAATGTCGTAGCACTACTATTTTATCCTCTACTGTATCAAGATGAAGCCTCCGTTCCCTTCCCTTACCGAAGCCTACCACTCCACCAGCTACGATGCCATATCTCCTACGCGCCATGAGCTTTCTGTTGCCCACAAGACCGTTGTCGTCACTGGCGGCGGCCGCGGTCTAGGACCCGAGATTGCCAGAGCCTACGCGGCCGCAGGAGCTTCACACCTTGTCCTGCTCGGTCGCACGCAGGCCACTCTGTCCCAAACAGCGGAAAAGATCGAGAAAGAGTTTCCTTCTGTCTCGGTGACCACCCATACCGCTGATGTCGCGGACGAAGCTGCCGTTGGGAAGGCGGCAGAGAAAGTCGGGAAATGGGATGTGCTGATCCTGAACGCCGGGGTCCTTGCCGAGCCGCGTTCCGTCGCGGAGTCAGACCCTACGGACTGGTGGCGCGTTTTCGAGGTGCGACTTGGCTTTCCCCATATTCTGGCGCCCTTTGAGCTATTCGCTTCTCCTGCTATACAAACGATGGCTTACAATGATTCTATGGAACCTAGACCAACGTGAAAGGAGCAATGGTCACCACTCGTGCCTTCCTCCCCCTCCGAAACAACGATGCCTCTCTTATCGCCCTCAACGCCAACCTGATTACTGTACCAGAGTCCAGCCCTTTCGCCATGGGCGCTTCCGCCTACAACTGCTCCAAGCTCGCCCAACTAAAGCTCCTCCAGTATGTCTCGGTCGAGAACCCGGACCTCTTCGTCGTCTCGGCCCATCCCGGTGCTGTAGACACAGACATGCTCCGATCCTCCGGTCTTGGTGATAAAATCGATCCGGCAATGTTCGACGACGGTAAGTCTTCTCCTGTCCGTGATGGATGCGACTTTTTCCGACTGAAGCTGTTGCAGTGAGTCTGTCTGCGCATTTTCTCTTGTGGCTGGCGAGCAAGGAGGCGAGGTTCCTCAAGGGGAAGTTTGTGTGCGCGAATTGGGATGTGGAGGAGCTGAAGGGGAAGGCTAAGCTGATTGAGACGACGTCTATTTTGGAGGCTAGTATACATGGTTTCCCTTATGGGGGTGCGATGGATGCTATGCTGGCTCAGACAGAGGGCGGGAAGTAAGAATGTGTTTAATGGGTCACCTAGTTTATAAGTGGCCAATTCCACATTACACTGTGTTCGTTCGGGTGATGTCACACGCGCCAAGTAACTGCCGACTACTCCACGCACATCAAGCGGTTTGTACCCAGATCATGGTGATGCTCGGTGATACCAGCCCTGAAGGTATCCGAAGACCACGTCCGGGGGAGCGGACCCCCAACCGCTTCAAAAGTCTGCTCAGGCCACAAGAGCCAAACATCGGCGAGATCGCCGCCTCACTGCCAGCGTTGCCCTCCGCCAGACCCGCTCCGAAAAGGTTCAATGATTGTATCTGTGCGGCATCCAGACGACAGACGTTTTCGCTTTCGCCACAGTGGGACTGCGGGTCGATCTTATAGCTCCGGTGTTTCCGGTGGCCGCGGAGAATCTTTACGGTGGCTATTGGAGACATCTGTCAGCGGTAAGCCATTGGATATTCCATATAGATCTATAGGGCCGTGAGCTACTAGTAACGGTCATAACTTGAGTAATGATGAGGGTCTGGACGGAGTAGTAGTAGTAAGAGAGATAGTAAAGGTAGTGTAGAAAGGTTAGGAAAGTAGGTCGTAGTAGTAAGATCTAACTTCTAGAATTAATATAAAGAAGATGTAATCGTAAGTAATTTATTCTATCTATGAAGGTAAATAATATCGATGGAATTAACAAATGAGATGGGTGTCATTACATTATAAATAAGTATTTTTCTCATATATAATATATATTCGTAATAGTAGAATTATAAATTAATAAGTTTATTATAAGACTATAGCGTTAGTAACTATTTAATTAGTCATTTTATTATTATACGATATATAATATTATTATATAATATACGATATACGAGAGATAGATAAATATAGCGAGTATTATTTATATAGTTACTATATTAATAATAAGCTCTTTATTTAAATTATTCTCTTTTAGAGCTATATTATTATTCTTTTTTTATAATTAAATTTATATATATTAATCTTTATTTAACTATTATTAATACTATTTAATTATTATAAATATATTTTATACTCTTATATACTTTATAATAACTTTTATTATTATTATTAAATTTAAAAAAGCGATTAAATAAGTTATACTCGCTTTTAAAATTATTAAAAAAAAAAAAAAATTAATAAAACCTTTAAAGCTAAAAAAACTATTAAGATTAAAATATCTCTTTCTTATAAGAAAATTCTTATATATAAAACGCTATTAAGAATTATTAGCTCGAATAAGATTAAGAAAATACTTTTATCTATTATTAAAGTAGATCTTTAAGAATTAATAATTTAACTATCTAAGATTTAAGAGAAGCGAAATTATTATTAATATTATAAAAATCGAGTTTATAAGCTATATTATTATTATCGTTATTATTATAATTATTAGTATATATAATAGAATAAGATAGAGCTAAGTTTAAAAATCTTAAATTTATATATATAGCTAATTATTAATTCGAGTTCTCTACGCTTTTTAGCTAGACTATCTAAGTTAGCTCGCTAATCCTCTCGCATTTTCTTATTAAAAATCTATATATAAAAGTCTTATACTCTAAAATAA